CATAACATTTTTAATAATGGACTTTTTTCTCCTGGATTTTTGTGACCACAATCCTGTATATTTGACTCTCTTTTGTATGATATATGATATGGCCAGATTAATATCCTCAGAATTTAATGGTTCCTTCTCTCCTCTTGGATACATTAATGATTTTTCCCATGTTAGGTGGCCTGAAGAGTCAAATGCCTTAGGAGTACAGCACTCTCTTACTTAATCTCACAGAAAAATTAGAATTCATTTTTTTTTAAATTTGATGACACTTCCAACATCCTCTGATACTCTGAAAACAATCCTGTGTCTTACTAGTATCTGGAAAATATGGACAATTGGAAAGTCTCAGTTCTATAGGTGATGTTTAATAAGTAGGGTTACTTAAAATTGCAGTGATGTTAAAGTATAATTTTGAAAAGATTAAAGAGTGTGAATAAATAATAAGACTTTAATGTACTTGATGTAATTGAAAAAAGCAGAATATGTTTTTAAATATAACAAATGGATTCAACAATAAATCAAAGTAACACAGGTATAGCAGAAAATATAGTTAGTACATTTACTGATAACTACTTTTATTTTGTACTAGGGATTTAATCCAAGCAGGCTTGTCCACTAAGCCCCCATCCTTAGCCTTTCGAAAATATTTTGTTTAAAGACAAGATCATGCTGAGTTGCTTAAGGCCTGGCTAATTTGCTGATGCTGGCTTTAAACTGCCTCAGCCTTGGGTGCCACTGGAATTACAAGTATGCACCTGGCTCTTGGCCATCCACTGATAACTTTTTAAATGTATAATTTTTTGCCTGTTAAGTTCAGGTATACAATTAGATATTAGTTTCAGTTTACCAAAAGATTCACATATGGTTGAATAGTAAATGCCTAATTTTAATTTTTTAAAATAAAACCACATATATTTGGTTTTCATGCTAGAAGTTTATGGTATGATTATATTTCTTAACAATCTCTTCATATTTTTATGTACCTGTTTGTTACATGAATTCAATTTTAATCCTTATATTGGATATTCTGCAAATGTAAAATATAATTCAACACTTAATAATAAGCACTTAGATGATTTGTTTTCTTTTTGATTTGAACTTTTTTAAATTATGGAATTCAATTTTGTGATGAACTTATGACTAATAAATAAATGACAAGTCATTTAATTTTATGTTCAGCCCTTAATTTGGAAACATGTTTTCAGTGAATGGAGCAATGAACTAAGAAAAAGGTTTTGTTTCTCCTATAAATCCTATGTCATAAAAATATGTATTTCAAGTTACAAATGTGTGAAATAGTAGTATGATTAATAACTGAGGCAATTATTCAATAGATATAGCTGGTGTCAAGCTCTTCTGAAGATATAAAGATGATGTTATATAAAAAGGATATGTATATATATATATATATATATATTAAATCTAACTTATGTATAAATGAGAGAAACATAACTTCAACATGATTGATTAAAGCAAGGGTGTAATAGGCTCTCATAATGAAAACGTCCACATTGCAAGTATGGAAGTATGGTTGATTCTATATACCCAAAGCGTACTGTCAACAATCTGGTTTGGGATTTCAAGGGAGGTGATATTTGGGGATGGATTCTTGAATGGTGATAAATATAAAAGCACACAAAAGTAATAAAGAAACCAGCTCTGTGAGTTTGAAAAGGAAGCTACATCTCATAAAATATTTTCTATTTTTGGACATTCTCCTTATTCTTCCAATTTATAATCCTGTTAAATGAGTAAAAATTGAGTTAAAGGTTCCATACTGGTCTCACTTATGCCATGGATAGTTGTAAACATATTGGATTATCTGCATGTGAGAATTATGAGCAGGATTTCCTTAAGGCCATTATGTAGACTATGTAACAGTAAAGGGGAGAATAATATCAAGAGAAAATGGTTTGGGATTTGCATATCAGGCCATTAACCCTTTCTATTTGGACATTCTTTTGGTATCATTGATGGATAACACTGATTTTATTTGGTTTTTTTTTTTTTAGACAGGGCTGTTTGACTTTTTTTTCTTAGAGAATAGTGCTTAAACCTTGCTCGCTCTAAATAACTTTTGAATATGAATGTAGTCAATACAGATTATTAAACACAGATCATCAGAATGAATTAGATGGTGTGAATTTCATTTGAAAGATAAAAAACCTGGTCTGAAGTGTTGTGCAGGTAATAAAATAATAAATAGGCGAAGCTTAAGAAAAGCTCTGGCATTGACTTTAGATCTAATGCTCTTTCTACTATAAGACATAATAATCATTTTGGGGACCAATCAACATACTTATAGGCCACTGGCTGTTACAGTGTATTACAGGCTTCAGATATAGAGGCCTCACAAGTATAGGGGGGTTCTTAAATCTTTATTTTACTGTCACTGGAGGTCTATTTCATAGCTTAAAAATTCCATCATTGCTAACAGACAATGTTCACAAGAGACCTAATTCACCTTCCATCATTTTGAAATAAAGTAGTGTGTAATTTGAAGCCCATTTCAAAAATTGGTATGGCTAGAGTGGCAAAGCATGAAAAGACATCATGGTCAAAAGTATTAATATGCTTCTTAAAGGCAAAAAGAGAAATTCTTTCCCAATTACTACTGCTAATATTCATGCCTAGAGTAGCTATGTATAAGCAATCCTTGTGAAGCTTCTCTTCCTCTCATCATAGGAAATAGACTTTACATACTTCTTCAGGTGATGACATTACTCCCTTCCAGTCAATCCTTTTAGGTTTAACACCAGGGGAAAGTAAAATCATGATATTTACAATGCTGAAGCCACTGTTTCAGACACACCATGGACGTTCTATCTTCTCTTTTTGGAAATCAGGAGTTAAATGGTAACTTTCAGGAACACAGCAGATTTTCCCTCTCATCTCTATCCAAGGTTTATAATCTGAAATAAAAAGGCAGAGAAAGTATTTCAAGGTAATTTCTCATTTCAAATGAGTCTTTAAAACCAAAAAGATAGTCCCCCTGGGATAAGGTCCAGCTCTCTCAGGAATTTTCTGAAGGTAATGTTCCCCCAGAGCCCTACAGTTGCAGTGAATCTGAGAATAAGAGAAGCTCTTTAATGAATGTGCTGTGAGAAATCAGAACACCTGGACACAATGAGACAAAAGATCCAAA